AAAGCTAAATCCCTTTAAGGTGTTTCTGGCATTTACAAAAGTCCTTTTTGTTTCACAGGTTGCACAACAATGTACTCTTCTGCCATCTTGTGGCCAACCTGAGGAACTTCCAGGCAGTCCAAGGAGGGCAGCTGGGTGGGCCCAGCCAGAGCAACTCGGCAAAAACACCGGTGGACTTTTGACACCTCAGTTCCCCAGCCTCCCACCTTTTTTTTTTTTTTTTCTGCACACAGCCCCCGAGGCCATGAACCCACGGATGGACTGGGGGCTTTGTAAAGGCCTGGGAACTGCACAAGGGCCGTGTGCAGTCCACTTTGTGCCCCAGGGCACCACACGCCAGCAGCACACAGTAGCAGGTTAGCAAAGCCTGCTGTCTACTTGCAGACCCCAAGCACTAGCCGCACCTTCTGTTCCCCAGTTAAAGTGACAGCCTCGGCCCAGTGAGCCCAGGGCTGTCCTGGGAATGCCCTGAGCCGCAGACAAGAGAACGCCAGGCTGCTCACGTTAAATCCCCGCCAGGCCTCCATGATGCTGACACTCCCAGGAGCCCCGAGTTTCAGACCAGCACCCTCAGGATGCTCCCAGCTGGTCCACCAGCACGGGCTCCTGGGAGCGGAGGTCCTTGTACACAAATCTCAGGTTCCCCTCCTTCCGGAAGGCCTCCTGGGCAGCTGCCGGGCCTCGCTCGGCTTCTCAGAAGCTGAGCCTCTCGCCAGGTGCTGCACGTGGAAGCCACAGCCTCTCGCCAGGTGCCGCCCGTGGAAGCCACAGCCGTGTCGTGCTCACCCACGCTCGGACGCACCCGGACCAACTCCCGGAAGACACCGGACACAACCCGCGTCCTGCCTTCATGTGGCTGTCCCTCACAGCCTGGTTCTAGGTCCTTGACTCTGTGGCCAAACAGGCTTTCCGCGCTTCCTCCAGGCCGCCTCCCCTGAAGGCTCTCCGGCCTCCCCAGCTGCGCCCCACAGCACTGCCACACCTTCCCCGGGATACACGGTACCCACACCCCCCAATTTTCACACCCAACGCCCAGGGCCGCCTCCTGCCCACCACTCGGCTGGGAGTGCACGGCCCACGATCCCACACAGTGCCTCCAGCCTTGAGTCGCTGCCCCCTCCCTTGTCTCTAGCCTCTGCCTGCAGGCCAAGTCCACCCCCGAACCACCCACTGGATACCTTTGTCTTGCTCTCCAGAGCTCCACCTGCCCCAAACCCCTCCTTCAGCCCCCTCCAAGCGCAAGGAACTCCGCTGAGGCTGCAGAGTGGCACTTACTCAGCCTCACTGTCCCGTCGTCCCTCTAGCTCCATCTTTCCCGCAGGCTCTTGGGGGGAAAGTGGGCGTGTGCGCCCCAGGCTCCTCCCGGCAGGAAGGGTTATGGGACACACCTGCGAGTGCCTGCCAGCCCCTAAGCCTGATCATTACACATTTCCCCCAGGTGTGCACTCAAGCCAAGCACTCCTACACCACTGGACACTGGACTCCAGCCTGAGCAGCCGGGTGCATGTGGCTGACCCAGCACTCGCCCAAGGGCACTGCTTGGGGAAGGGGCTCCAGCGCCCTTGGTTGACCTCCAAAGCCACGGGCTGTGCACACCAGGTGCTGAGATGCGTGGCTGCTTTCACCTGTCTCTTGCGGGCCGCGCACTGGGCGAGCAAAACTTGCAAAGTGGGAAGTGTGGGGTCCAGCCGCAAGGCTAGGTGGCTCCTAGGCAGGGAAGCCACCATCTTCTCCAGTTCCCACACGGTGGGTTCCCCGCGGGCCTCCAGAACATTCTGCCTGAAAGATTGAGTGACTCTTGATTCTAGCCGCCCCACCCCTTCCACCGCTCCTGACTGTCGTCACCTGCTGGCTCTGGTTCTCATTCTGGATCTTTAAATGCAGCGTGGCGTCCTCACAGACGCACAAAACATCAAATAAAAACCCAGGCGGCTGCTCGAGCTGCCCGTTCGAGGCCAGCAGGATGAGGGGGATCAGAGGCCAGCAGGATGAGAGGGATCAGCACTCCTCCCGGGTGCTTGCCAGTGGCCAGAGAGCCCTGCGGCCTGGGCCTCTCCCTCTTGGCTGCCCTGCACCGGGTCTGAGACACAGGTCCTATCTCCGGAAAGCCCGCAGGCCCGCTGAGAATTCTGTAACTTACTCAGGCATTGGTCACTGCTTCAGGAGTTGGTGTTTATTATCAATGTGGAAGTTGATGTTGCTGATAACGGCCTTTTACAATTCCTGCCCCATTGACCTTACACTAATCAAGGGATCTCCGCTTAGGGTTCTTTCACTCTTTCCTTGATCTTTAGGTCCTTCCTTCTTGCATTTCTTCCCTTAACTGATTCAAGATTAAGTTGTAGCATGAGGATTGCATAGGAATGTTACTGATTGATATGCACCGTCTATTGAGAGTTTTAAGGTGAAACAAATGGCAGAATCCATGGAAACATCCACTTGATCCCGTGCCAGAGCTTGTGACTGCTTCTGTATAAATAAGGGGGACAGTTTTCTTGCATTGTCCATTATGATCATCAAATCGTAGCGGTCCATTTCTTTCCTCTTCACGCCTAGTCCGCACACCCTTCTCGAGTTCTGAACTCAGCTGGAGCTGGACTCCGGCACGGCTGTGAGGTGCCAGTCACCGGTGCTGTCTCTTCCACAGGAGAGGAAGTGAGCTCCGGGAGATGGAGAGCTGCTCACGGTTGCCCCGGATCGGGGTGTTTCGTGAGGGTTGTGGTTAGTGCTGTTTGTGCACTGCGTGGAGTGAAGCAGCATAGATGCAGTGCTGGTGTTTGAAATGCCATCTCAGGAGGCAGAAGTCTGTCCTTCCACTGGAGTGGGGAATCAGCCTTCCACTGGAGTAGGGAGTCATACTTGGAGTCACTGCCAATCGTTTATTCAGTTTTTTGCTCCTCCCAGCTCACTCTTTGCAGCCCAAGAGGTTCCAACCATCTACTGAGAGGCAACCACAAACTGGAGGGTGGGACATGAGACAGGATGCTTGCAGAGTTCTCAGGCTTGGAAAACCAGACACTGTGGTAGGCCAAGGTGGAGCAGCGGGAGATTGCTAGGTTATGAGAGCTTGGAGCTGGGGTACAGCCTCATGGGGTAGGGAGTGTGGATGGGAGAATTCTTGGGACAAGGGGCCAGAGAATGAAGAGCAGTTAGCCAAGGGGAGGGCTGGAGGCAGTATTCAGGGCTGGAGTGTCTTAGAGTCTGATTTGTGTTTGAACGTGTTGCGTGGCAGCCGTGAGAAGAAGCTCGGTGCTGGTGGGTTGCGACTGGGTGCGAAGGAAATGAATCCAAGGCAAAAAAAAAAAACCAAAAAAACAAAAACCGAATGCACTGAGTGATTTCTGACTTGAAGCAGAGGCTAGAGAATGCGCTGAGCCAAGACTGATCACCCTGGGGGACTTTTGCTATCCCCCTTCAGAGCAGCCTCCACCGTGTGATGCTGAGATTTGCACCCTAAGCTGTCCCTCCTAGCACAGGGCCAGTGTTAATCCTCACAGCTGTGTAGGAAGAGGCTGGAACTGCCGCATGGTGGAGTCTGGCTGGGTCTGACACCTGCAGTGGTTAAATGATGACCTAGAGATGGGCGCATCCCCACGTCACACATGTGTGCGTTTCAGTGCCAGCTCCACACCTGGTGATGGTCTCCCTTCCCGAGTCCCTGCCACACACACGAGGTCTGGATTAAATTCCTAAGCCCTGGCGGTGGCCTGCTCCACCCCAGTCATTGAAAACCTCTGGAAAATAAACCAGCAGAAGCGATCTCCCTCTGTTCCTGTCTCAAATAAATACAAAAATGTCTAATATGCACAGAATGAATTAGGCTGTAGGTGCTTACAATGTTTTAGAAGGCCCTTTTCCTCAAGCAGAGAAGAGCTTACACACACGGAGGAAACACCCCGAGCTGGTACGCAGACCTACCCACAGAATAAAAGAAATCTTTCCCTGGGAAAAATAAAACCAAGAAACACACTTTGGTGTTTCGTGTCCTTGGCATTTATCACATATGGACGCCACTTTTGTTAATGTTTCTGTCAGAGGAAAGCTGCGTGAGCAGGTGCTGATTTTGTGGCCGAACAGCAGGTCAAGGAGCTTATACTCTACTCCAAGACATAGAGACACTCTCAAGAACACATTTGATTTTATTCCATCAAAACTGCAACCAACAAACACATACAATTCTTTACTGGCCTTTATCCAAGTGGTCCCGTTGAGTTATACACAATTCACAGACAGGGGTGGAAAAATCAAAACAAAACCTCAAAGTCAAGGTTATTGGTACCATTCTAACACCTGGAAATTCAACTTTTTTCTTGTCTTCAAGATTTAATTTTTATTGTAAAGTCAGATATACAGAGAGGAGGAGAGACAGAGAGGAAGATCCTCTGTATGTCGATTCACTCCCCAAGCGGCCGCAATGGCCAGAGCTGTGCCGATTCGAAGCCAGGAGCCATGAGCGTCCTCTGGATCTCCCACATGGGTGCAGGATCCCAAGGCTTTGGGCCATCCTTGACTGCTTTCCCAGGCCACAGGCAGGGAGCTGGATAGGAAGTGGGGCTGCTGGGATCAGAACCAGCACCCATATGGGATCCTGACACATTCAAGACGAGGACTTTAGCCCCTAGGTTACTGTGCTGGGCCCAGAAATTCAACTTTGGTATTGCCTCCTGGCTAAATTAACATTGTCCTTATGAGTGCTAGAACACAAATGCAGAGCTTTGTTCAAAATTAAGTTAGCCCAAAATGACATCATTTGTAGGATGGAGAAGGAGTTAGATGAGGCGTGCGCTGTCAATGTTGTAAGATGTATGTGTTTTAAACAAGACTTTAAACCAGATTTCAGAGTTTGGATTTGTGAATGGCTGTCTAGAACAGTTTTCTTGGTTTAGTTCACAGTTCTGGAGTCTTCCCCTTTGGAGGCCATCCAGGGGATGTCCTGCACGCCAGCACCACGGTCAGAGGGCACACTGGGCGCCGTCCATCCTCTGCTGGCGCCCCAAGCCTCAGAATGGTGTCTGGGAGACGGACTCCAGCGTGGAATGGAGCTCGTTGTTTTCTAGATGCTTTTTCTTTTCATCCTTATCAAACTGCGCCTCCACCTCGGCAGGATTGACGTACGTATAGAAGCGAGCCATGATGGCGAATATGACACAGACCACCAGCAGCAAGGCAGCGAAGAGCACGTACTCGGCCCACTTAGGAGTCGGAGTTGGTGCAAGGACAGAAACAAGAAAGGGTGTGTTAGGGGCCAGCTTGCACGTGTGCTTGCTTGCTAGGTCCAGACAGAAGGTACTTTGAACTTAAACTTGTGTGGCATGTTGGTGGGCCAACACACAGCGTTCCCTGCATCTCCAAGTCAACAATAGACAGATAACCTTACACCCCCCCCCCCCCCGCCAACAGTACTGGGGTTTACCAATATCAGACTTTTGGAAAAAGGCAATTTCTGAAAAGTCCAAGCCACAGGACACATTGCTGGTCCTTAGGGTAAGGGGGCCAGGAGAATGCTAAGCCATACTCTAGAAGGGGAAAGAATGTGCTGGATGTGGCCAAGACAAGACCCCTTGAGTTCATGAGCATGAAGTCTATCCTCCAAGGGCACCTGTTGCAGGAAATGACGGAGCCGATGGTACCACCAGCCTTTCCCAGGGTCACCCAGGCCACGGTGCTGAGGAAGGAGTGGCTGGAAGGCCGTCATTTAATTGTAGATAGAATGATTGATCGCACCCACCTCCAGAATGATTTGTACTTCAGGTGTTATGGAAGTTTCTGGATAACGGGCTTGGTTTGGTGCTGTTAAGCTGCATCCATTGATGTAAGCCACGTTAGGATATGTGTGTGTTAACCCAGTCTCACTACTTCATTTGTCAGTTGCCCACCGAATGTCACCAAGTAGAAATAAGCAGAGTCAGTCACACCTCCCTGACCCGCCTGTCCCCACTGACCATGTCAAGGGCTGACAGGGAAGACAGAGGTGCACACAGATCCTCACCTGTTCGTTGATCTGGCCTGCCCCTGCCACGATAAGCACAATGATGTTGCCAACGGCCACAGTGAACTGCCAGCCAGCCTGCAGCACCGACTTCATGTTGGAAGGAGCCTGAAGGAGCGAAGCACAGTGCATCCCAGGAACTCTGTGCTCAGCGCTCTACTCTCAAAACGCTGTGTCAAGTCAGGTCAGTCTCAACACCCAAGGGTCGTCATGGGGTACCAAGACCCCCAGAGACACATGTTGCATGCACAAGACATGCGTCTGCACAAACATGCAGCTCTTGGGCTTGCCCTCCGGAGCTCGCAGCTGTCCTCTCTGCTAAGTGCATGCAAGGATTCTGTGTGCAGGGAAGGCGCTCGGCAGCACCACGCACGCAGCATGTCCTTCTGCCACAGGGAGGCGCCAGCTGGCCTGCAAGCTTCTGCCCCACAACCGGGCATCCCATCATCTACTCTTCCTAGACAGTGAGTTCATCTCAGAAATGGATCACCCGGTTCTCCTTTGCTTTCTTTACCCCCAAAGTGGGAGGTGCTTACCATCACTGGGGAACAAATGTAACTACAGTTCTGACAAGGTTGTGCAGAAAGTGCATTTGGCCATCAACACAAGCTGCCTTGTGAATACACTTAAAGCAGTAACACTTTTGAACTGATCCTCCAGGCAGGCTCTGCTGTGTGTTCTGGAGCTACCTGAGAGCTAACGAGACACAGACACATCCTGCACAAGAGCCCTTGTGAGCAGCTGGCACAATGGGGTTGTTTAGGAATGGGCTTCTTCTGGCCCAGAAGACCAGAGGTGATCATGAACACAGCCTGCATAGGATCTGAAATCTCTAGTGTGTGGATCGTAGGGCCGCAGTCACAGCTGCCTACGAGCAGACAGAGCCACATTTGGTGGAGATGGTGGATCTCAAAGGGGGTGTTCTGCAGAAGATGCAGAATGTTCTCTGGAATTCTCTAAAGCCACAGGGGTGCCACGATCCCGGATTTCCACAGAGCTCCCGCGGTATTTTAGGAAGGCAGGGGTAGAGCCAAGGGGCAGCTGGAACGACAGAGATACCTGCGAGTAGGAGAACTCCAGCCCCGTGATGGAAAAGACCACCTCGCCGGCGGTGATGAGGAAGTACTGGGGGATCTGCCAGGCTATGTTGACCGTGTTGGGGGCGATGTCCTCAAAGTGCGTCACGTGGGGACAGCCGTCTGCCTACACCCACAGGGCAGAAGGGGGAGAAGCTGAAAAGCTCAAGCTGAGACGGCGTAACCAGCAATCGTTCAAAGCAGATCAGGTTTCACCTTGTAGGATTCTATCCATCACGCGAGTGCATACTTTACCTGCAGATACACTCGCAATGGGATGGCTTGGGGAATGTGCATACACCAGAATTTTCCTCTTAAATAACAGAGTAGATTGGAAATCGAATTTGTTTAAAATATCACCATCTTTTTAAGTGATAAGGTCTTAAAGTCTAAGTTAGTAATCTCTAAGAAAGCACCTGATACTGGCCAACATTTAGTCTGAGTAAGTCAGCCTGTTTAATTTTAAATTCTAGCAGTTCACTTGAATCTGATGTTAAAGACTGAGCGAACAGTCAGATGAATTCCCATCGTGTTTAAAATAAAGCTTCGGCAGAATGTATACTAAAACTCAGCTACTAGGACTAGTCTAGTTAGAGCGTAGGTGTGTCCTGGGGGGGCGCTGTGAGGCTGGAGAAGACTGAGAGCCACTGACCTGCTCGGTGATGAGGTAGGTATAGGCACTGCCGTACCCCAGGGAAGGTGATTCAAAGTCACGGTTGCATTGCTCGTTGATGCCCGGAGAGTATATGGTGAAGGTTTTTCTGTTACAAGAGACCATCACAGGTTAACGATCCTGGTATTTAAAAAGCCACACTGCGTTTTTTCACAAAAAGAACTTGGAACTCTTGAGCATTGGAGCCATGTGTCTGGTAAAAATACTCACCGGCCCGAGGTAAAAAAGTAATACTCGCTGGCATTGTGGCTGTTGATGTTTTCATAAACGCTCCCACTCATGGTGACACTGATGGTGTCATTGTAACCGTTTACAAACCTGAAACAGAAAGCCATGTGTCTTGTCAGTGGGCAGTATAATAGTTTGTGCAAGGCCACAGAGCACGCATGTGAGGCTGGTCTGTGCTCTCTCCCGGAGGGATTGGAAGATGCCCCCAGAAGGTTTCTAGAGCAAAGTTAGGAACCCTAAGATTGCCCTTCAATCTCATCAGAATCCAGCTGAAGACAACTGATTCAACACGTGTACATGCCAAGTACTGTTCTAAATACTTCACAAGTACTATCTAGCTTGATCACATTTGATCTCGTCTCTGGTCTCTATGGTAAGTCACAGCCCTCAGGGGGTAGAGATCTGTGTGACCCCAGAGTACTAAGTGACCAGCACCCTACTAGGCCCTGGCAAGGTTCCTGAGTATGTCTGGGACCTAGGTCCCAAGGCTTCCATTCTTGGCCAAGGCCCCTTGGCATGGACAGGTGTGGAGAGTGCGGGCAATTAGAGACCTGATTCTCACATCTTTCAGGTCATGGAAGATCCCAACTCTTATACTTTCCTGGGGGAAAATGAGGGTGTTGCCCAAAATAAGATTCTTTCTTATCCAATGAGTGAGGGCTTATAGCAAAGAATCCAACTTAGGAACAAGAATTCTAATGTGTACATTTAAGTAGCATGAAGAATAATTTAACATTTACATTCAACATGTGGTCAAGTTTTATCAGCTTTGTGGCAACATGTTACATTGGTCAAATTCTAGCTATTAGGGGGAAATCTCTAGGAACAGATTCAAGTTCAGAAGTCCCAGAGCACTGCCTGCTGCAGTGTGATGGTGATTAATGCCGAAAAGGAAACTTGACTTGGGTCAATTCAAGCTTAAATATTCATGTCTATTTAATACTCACAGTTCTCCAAGTTGTAAGAGTTGCCTTTGTCAAACATTCAGATCACTCACTCAAAAGGAGTTGAGCAGGCACAGAATGAGATTAGATAAAAGATTAGTAATCCTAGGGCCTGGCTTTATAACTCAGAAGGTGCAGACTGCAAATGCCTCCTGCTGTAACACCTGGAGACCACTCCATCTCAGGGCTGGTGGGTGAGGAAAACAGACAGAATCATCTGCACGCTGTACCCACGGGCCGCGTTTCAAAGGAACACAGAAGCAGCACTCACACTGCAGGAGTTCCGGAAGATGAAGACAGCAACTCGTCTACCACCTTCTCATGAGACCATGAGATCAGGGGCAGGAGCCCCAGGATTGAAGGCCAAGGTGACTCAGAGGGCGAAGGCAGGAGAGGGGCAGGACAGAGCCAGCTCTTCAGAGACCGACAAATGCCAGGAACTCGTAGCCCTTCTCCATCTTTGAAGAGCGGCTTTATCCTGCTCCACTTATGTGTTCCACCCACTTAAAAAGCATGCAGTTCAGTGAGTGTAGCATATCCACAGTGTGCCCATCTCAGCAATCTAATTCTCACCACTCCAAAAGCAAACATCACACCATTAACAGTCACCTCCATTCCTTTCTCCCCTCCAGCCCATAGCAGTCAACAACCTGCCTTCTGTCTCTTACGACTTGCCTGCTATTTCATTTAAATGCAAGCATCGTCCAGGTCTCCTCCTAGGCAGCAGGGATCCAACCATTACCCACCACCTGATGCTTCTGGGGTGCTGGGATCAGAAGTGCATCTACCAGCCAAACCCAAGCACTCCATCATCAGATGCGGACACGCCAAGCAGGGCCTCGGCTGCTGCCCCTCAGCTTCCCCCAGCATGCTGTTCTTGAGGTCTGTTCATACAGACCACTTTTCTCCACATTTTGTGTTTGTAATGTCACCATGAGCATCCACATTCAAGCTTTAGTGTGGACACAAGCCTTCATTTCTTTTGCTCTTGCTGAGTTATATGGTGTCAGCACTTTAAGAAACTTTTTCCAAGTAGCTGTTCCATGTTTTAATTCCTCCAGCAGTGTGCATTATAAAAATTCTAATTTATTTCCATCCTCAACAATATATGGAACTCTCTCTCTCTTTCTCTCTTTTTAATGTTAGTACCCAGTAAGTATGCTTTTTATTTTCTTTCAGTTTCTATTTCCATCAATGCAACAATGAGTGCCTTTCCATGTTTTGGACAATTTGTGTCCTTTCTGAGGGGGAGAAAATTCCTTCTATTCCTAGTTTGCTGAGGGTTCTTATTAAGAATAAATGGTGAAATTTCATCAACTATTTCTTCTGCACCAAGTAATAAGATAAAGTGGATTTTCTCCTTTAGTTTATCAAAATGATGGAATCTATTATTGTTTTTGTTTTAACAGTGAACCAGCCTTACAATCTTAGGACAAACCCAGATTCTCATTCACGCCCGCGTTGCTGCTGGACTTCCAAGAGAAGCTGGCATGACTGACGTGTGGAGAAGTGCACCTACCTGATTCCATTTTCTCCTCTGTCTGGCTTCTGGATGAGGCCATCATTGACCTGAGAGAGGAAAGAGTCTTGTAAAAGATTTGCAGCATCAGCTTGGCAGGACTGGATCCAACATTTATGCCTTTTGAAGTCAGTGCTGCTGACACCTGTCCTGACAGCTGGGGCACAACGACCACGTTGGGACAGCTCCACGTCCTCGGCCCTGAGGCTCCTTTGATTCTCCATGGACTTATCAAGCAGCGCTCTCCAAGAATGAGAACAAGCCACACAAGCTCCCTGGGGAGGCGCTCGCAGCAGCCTTCCTGGCATCCTGCAGTTCTGTAGCCACTCACTTCATCTCATTTTACGACTCTGATGTTTGGTTTAACTTCACCCCCGGAGCCTCTTTTTTGTACAGATGTATTTATTTGTTTGGAAGTTAGAGTTACAGAGAGAAGCAGGGGCAGAGAGGAGAGGGAGAATCTTGCATCTGCTGGCTCACTCCCCACATGGCCTCAACAGCCAGGGTTGCTAGACCACAGCCAGGAGCCAGCAGCTTCTGTTGATCTCTCAGGGAATTATAGGGGGGATTATAGGGGTCCAAGGTCATGGATTATCTTCTGCCACTATTCCAGGCCTTTGGCAGGGAGCTGGATGGGGAATGGAGCAGCCAGGACTCAAACTGGCATTCATTTGGGATGTCGGTGTCGTAGCAGCTTTACCTACTGTACCACATGCTGGTTGCCTCAGAATGTCTTTATGTGCCAAGTGGCATATGCAGATAACAATATTTTGTCTTAAGACATTTAATATGTATTTTATGGCTTTCATCTGATATATCCAGTATATATATTTTAAAGTACTCTAATTTTTCAATTACCCAGTACAAATTTTTTAAATTAACATAACTAAAGATATATTTAAAGCCTGTCATAAAGTGTCTGAGAATGCACACATGTGATACATGCATGGAGTGTGCATACACACACACCACAACATATAGAGAATTTTAATAGTATAGGTGGGCCCAGCACAGTAGCCTAGCGGCTGAAGTCCTCGCCTTGAATGTGCCAGGATCCCATACAGGCACCGGTTCTAATCCCAGCAGCTCTACTTCCCATCCAGCTCCCTGCTTGTGGCCTAGGAAAGCAGTCGAGGATGACCCAGAGCATTGGGATCCTGCGCCCCCGTGTGAGAAGCAGAAGAGTTCCTGGCTCCTGGCTTCGGATCGGCATAGCTCCGGCTGTTGTAGTCACATGGGGAGTGAATCAACAGATGGAAGATCTTCTTCTCTGTCTCTCCTCCTCTCTCTATATATATATCTGACTTTACAATAAAAACAAATAAATCTTAAAAAAAATAGTTTAGGATCCAGAGTTGTGGCATAGCAAATTAAGCCACCACCCATGAGGCCAGCATCCCTTATGGATGCTGGTTCTAGTCCTGGCAGGTGTACTTCCAATCCAGCTCCTGCCATAACCTAGGAAAGCAGCTGAGAATGGCACAAGAACCCACGTGAGAGACCTATGACACTCCTGGCTCCTCGCTGGCCCGGCCTTGGCTACTGTGGCTATTTAGGGAATGATTCAGTGAATGAAGATTCTTTCTTTCTCTCTCATCTTCTCTCCAAAGCTCTGTCTTTCATATAAAGAAATGAATTTTTTTAAAAGTTTAATGAATGGTAACTATTCTTACCAATTACTGGAAATCAAATGACTTACATTGTTCAAGAAGGAAAAAACTGAGGATTATGTATAATGTCAGACGACACAGTAGTAAAATAAAGTCATACAAGAAAAAAGCATCCCAAATAGCCAAGAGCCACCTACGGGTGCTCAGCCACTTACCACTATAGAGTTATTGGGGGCCCACACCAGGAGAGTGTGGCGCTGGCCTGGCTCGAAGTCATGTTTTACTGTGCTGTCTTGTGATCCATAAGAAATGTTTATGCTTGTCAGCGTGTTTGCATCGAAAGTCATAAACTCTCTTGTCTATGGAGGGAAAGAGACACAGTTAACACCAGAGGCTTGTGCTGCACTGTGCGTGCACTTGAACCTTACATGATGCTCCGAGTTTTCAAGTTTATGTTCGCTCACATCCCACAATGCCTTGGTGTAACTTGGCATTTGTTTGCCTGAGCTCAACACCCACCTGCTGGGCTTTGTCATTAACTTTTTCATATGACTCCCAGAATGAAACTCTTCAAGGGTTTTTGCTTTTATTTAGTTTTATGAAGAGAAGCGTTTTGGAAATGATTTCCAACATGGGCAAAGCAATATCCCTGATGCAGATTAACACTGGTTTCAGTCTGGTGAGCTCTAAGGTAGTGGTTCTCAGCCATGGCTGAACCAGTTAAATCCAAGCATCGGTTGTGGGATCCGGTTATCAGAATTTGCAAAGTCCTCCAGATGATTCCGGTGTGGACATCAAGCGAGAACCAATACTCCAGAACAGTGGCCACCCACAACAGGGCTTTCTGCTCTTGGTACTGTGATGTTTGGGCCGGATAACTGTTGAGCAAGGCTGTACCCCAGCATCCCTGGCTTTTGGAGCTACCACATACTCCGAGTTATAAAAACATCATTTTTCTGGAGAATGCCAAATGCCCCTTGTGGGCAACAAACCTATGAGCGTGGTTCGCACGCATTCGACAGCTTTCCAGACCTGCTGAGGCCCAGCCTGCCTCTTAGCAAACTCCTCGGGTGACCTGCAGGCCTGGGGAAGCTGCACACCACACTAGTAAAGAGAGTGAGACCAGGGGCCAGCATTGGTGACACAGAGGATCAAGATGCCCCCTCGGAACACTGGCATCTCGTAGCGGCAGCAATTTGTGTCCCAGCTGCTCCACTTCTGGGTTTGGGAAAAGCATTGGAAGATGGTCCCTGTCTCCCACATGGAAGGCTCATATGAAACTCCTGGCTCCTGGATTTACTCTGGCTCAGCTTTGGCTGTCACAGCCAACTAGGGAATGAACCAGCAAATGGAAGAGCTTTCTGTCTTTCCTTGTCTCTGTAACTTTGCCTTCCAAATAAACAAATAAATCTTTTTAAGTGAGTCAGGGAGACAGAACAAAGCCCTCCACGGTCAGGCTGGTCTTGGATAGACGCAAGGAACAAATAATCTGCTTCTCCAAACGCACTTCTAATTCAGATCAGAAGACAGACGGGAAGGCGGCACTTCCTGCTACTCACTTGAGACATCTGGCCGAGTGACACCGTTTCTCCAGGAAAAGATACTGTCATGTCTCCAGTTCCTATATTCAAAACCTTAATTTGGACTTCATTGGCTTTGGGGAACACTGGCAGAGTTTTCTGAGTGAAAGGAAAGTGACAATGAGTCCTTCGGCATGGCGATGAGTCAACCTGCCCCAGGCCCTGGAGTCACTTTCTCTCAGGCCACCAAAAGCTGTGAGGGTGGAGCAATGACCCCCGCTGTGCAGCCCTGCTCCCACCCCATACCTCAGGATCACTTACATCGTGCAAGCCACGGGAAAAGCTACTGGTGCAGAAATGGAAGTCATCGGAAAGAAGTGCCCTTGCGCTTATGTAGCTGGCCCTTCTCCAAGGCAAAGAAAGCTAGAATAGGAAGCTCGGGGCCTGAGAGGGTCAAGGCTACCCACAGCCCACCTGAGCGACTCCAGTGCCTGAGCCCTGGACCTGGGGCTCCACCCAGCCCTTCCCCAGTGCTCCAGTGCTCCATCTGCCTCCCTCCCATGCTTGCCTTAGGTCTGCCTGTCTCTCAAACCCAGTGCCTCGGGGGCTGTCTGCATCTCCTTTGATATATAATCCCCCTTTCCTCAAATTTGGCCTGGCACAAGACAGAGCGGGCACATGCTCATGCCCAGGTTTGGTCACAATGGCCAGGTGTTTGTGGACAAATTCCCAAACAACCTGTGGTTGGTCCATTCAAGGGAGGGAGCTTCTGGATCCTGGCTCCGATTGGTTGAACTCCAGCTGCTGCGGCCATTTGGGCTGTGAACCAGTGGATGGAAGATCTGTCTCTGTCTCTCCTCTCTGTATAGCTGACTTTCCAATAAAATAAATAAATAAATCTTATGAACATTCACTTGTGAAATTCAAGGACAACAAGCTGAGTGAAATAAGTCAGACACACAAACACTCCATGATTCCATTTCCGCGGGTTGTCTAGGATAGTCACATCCACAGAAGCAGGAAGTAAACTGGGGGTGCCCAGGGCTTGGGGGTGAGATGGGGAGCTGATGTGTAAGCAGAGCAAAGACTCCTTTAACACAGTGGAAATTCTGGACACGTTGACGTAACAACGTGCATACGTTGAACACTACCTTTACAAGTGGTTAAAATGGAAAAGCCTGGGCCCAGTGCGATAGCATAGTAGTTAAAAGTCCTAGCCTTGAACACACCAGGATCCCATATGGGCACCGGTTCTAATCCCAGCAGCCCCACTTCCATCCATCTCCCTGCCTGTGGCCTGGGAAAGCAGTCGAGGACGGCCCAAAACCTTGGAACCCTGGCTCCTGGCTTCAGATTGGCTCAGCTCCAGCCCTTGCGGCTGCTTGGGGAGTGAACCATTGGACAGAAGATCTTCCTCTCTGTCTCTCCTCCTCTCGAATAAAAATAAATAAACCTTTTTATAAAAAATGGAAAAGCCTGTGTTACATCTATGGTGAGAGCTAGACATTTGGAAAATGTAAGAAAATTAAAAGAGGGGGTGGGTGGTTAGAGAGATAAAGAAAAGAAAGACAAGGAGGGAGAAAGACAGGAAGGGAAAGAGCCTGAGGTTCTCACTCTCACCTGCCCCCTGCTCACCTCCTGTCCCACGCTCGCCTCCTGCCCCCGTGCTCGCCTCCTGCCCCACTCTCACCTCCTGCCCCACGCTCGCCTCCTGCCCCACTCTCGCCTCCTGCCCCCATGCTCGCCTCCTGCCCCACTCTCACCTCCTGCCCCCATGCTCGCCTCCTGCCCCACTCTCGCCTCCTGCCCCACTCTCGCCTCCTGCCCCACGCTCGCCTCCTGCCCCACTCTCGCCTCCTGCCCCACGCTCGCCTCCTGCCCCACTCTTACCTCCTGCCACATTCTCAGCTCCTTCCTGACTTTCAGCTCCTATTCTGTTTCTAGGATCTGGTTTGGTCTCAGACTGGCAGCATTCGGAGTCTGACTTATCCCACTGCAGGTTCCACAGTGAACTAGCATGCGAGCAATGGAATTTAAACGCGTTTTCCCACTCCAAAAGACAAGTTGTGCCTTTCTAATCAATGTTAGTTTGTGAGTGATCTAACCCTTCATCACATTTCCCAGGAGTCCAAATGCAAAAGAACCAAGTTTCTAAACTGCACCCACATTGCAAGCATGGGGTTGTGATTGCAAGCTATTTATGGCACCTTGCTCTCCCAGGGAGGCCTACCCATTGCCCCTGTTCCCCATCACACCCGAGTGGCTGTTGGCAACATGGGAGCCTCTTGGTCTTTGGCTCACGCTGTCACAGGGGTGGCCTGGCCTTCGCTCTTCTCAGTGTCACAGAGAACTATACATGCTGCACCTGCACCCGCCCTGAGCCAACCCTGGAGGGACGGGGGAACTCACATCAATTTCCACCTGCACGATGGTAGCTGCCACAAAGGCCATGGAAGCCAGGAACATGCCCACTGTCATCTTCTTCAGGGAGCTGAGAGGGATGTGGGGAGAGCTCCATCAGTCTCCCCAGGGACTCATGCCTCCTGCCCCCGCCCCGACCAGAACCAGCTGCCTGCACACACACAGACGTGAAGGTGTCTCCAGCACTGAAACTCGACAAAGACGGAGGGGGCTGAGTGGAACGGAGCTTCATGTTTGCATTTGTGTATTTCATTTCTAGAAGCCACAGCTACCTTGGACGGCAGCTGACATCTATGTGTTCAAGCTTTTTCTCAGAGAGGCCTTTCTAGACGACCATGAACAGCACTTTTGTCTTGGCCCGTAAACATTCGTCCAGTATATTTCTTCCAACACTGCCCCTTCCTGCAGGTGGTGCTGTGTGCAGTCGAAGGCATGAACTCACTGGCAAAGCCCTAGGGGGTCAAGGGAGCAGCACCCCATCCCCAGCCCCGACCCACAGGTCACCTACGTGAATTTCAAACCGCATTTTGCAATCAGAGGGTACACCAAAGTATCCACGATGGGGACCAGGATAATAATCAGGATGGTGTTCACCGTCTGTGGATGGAGCAGAGGCCACATGACAATGTCTCCAAGGGACCTTGAGCTCAGAAAGCAACTTAAAGATTTCCCCCTACCTGCATCTGATCTGGCTGGATCTCAAGGGCTCCCTAGAACAGAAGCAAAGGAACCTGCTTAAAACAGGAAGAGGAGAAAAGGACTAAAAGCAGCTGGGAGAGACCCAGAAGGGAAAACACCCCAACCTCCCCAACTTACAATTTTCCCGTTCATGGTCGTTGCTTGCAGTGTCCATCTGGAACCCTATAAAACAAGAAAGCCTCCTCCATCATCCGGGAATGGGGGCTTCCCAGATTTACAAGTCAGTGGTGAGTCCTTCGCAATCAGGAATGAAGTCAGAAATGTCACGGGATTCAAATATCTCTCAAACCATCAGTCGCCCAGCTCCATTATAATACTGGGTTCAATGCCAGATTATGCAGTAGGTAAAAAGCAGCAACACGAGGTGAATGCTAGGTAGGAACAAACAAGTAGTGTTTCTCTGGCTCCTGGAGCACCAGACAGGACCAGGCACTCTCAGGGATGCGCAAGGCAACGCAAAACCCAACTGAGAACAGCTGCAAAGCACAACCGGGCCTGCCAGGGGACAGTGGTCTCCTGTCCCCTAAGGGACTGAGTGTCCGTGGGCTTCACCGTTTCCATACACTTGATACAGACCCGGCTGCCAGGCTAGGAGGGCCTGAAAGGGACTGTCTCAGAGAGAGTGATGGTTTGAAATGCGGGTAGCCCACTGCAGGCAGCCTATTTCAGGGTAAAGCTGAGCCAGGCAAGAGCTTGGGTCACTGCACATTTTCATGCAGATGAAGCCACCCTACCTGGTGGACATTCCCAGAGATTCACCACTGTCTGAGTCTGTAATATCCAACAGCTGTTGAGTGCTGGGGCTAGGTTCACTACAGGCTGGATACGGGTTCTGAGGACGCCCGCAAAGGGTTAAGAGTTACTACCAAGTCACCCAGCTACTCAGAGTTAACTAGCCCAAAGCATCAACACAAAAAATTTTGAAGTACTCTTGTAAGTTCAGTGTTATCCAGAAACCACATTAGTGACCATAAAGAGGAAGCTGGAAGAGACTGCTATGAGGAGCTTCATCCAGAGGAAGGCCTAGGACACAGTCCTCCCCATGTGTGCTTGCACGGTGTCTCCTGGTACCTGCTGATCGAACAAGGCCCAGAACATGGGCAGCGGGATGAACAGGAACAGAACCTTCGTCACCATCTTCACCTGCGTGATAAGGCGCTCCTGCAATTGGAATAACGGAGACCCACATCAGCCCCACTCCTGTCCCCCACAGCTTTCCATCCAGGGCCACGCTGGAGAGGACAGGCTACTACCAAGCATTTCTTAAAAAAAAGAAAAAAAAAAAACCCCAGATATTTCCAGGCTACTTAAAGCATGACTGGGAACATGTGTGTAAGAGGTAAAGGACTTGAGTTTCACTAAAGGTTAAGTAGCACTAAGTGCAAATCCCACTGTTGCCACCACTATCACCCAAACCATCTGTCTTCAACATTATAGGATCCCAATTACAGGTAAGCTAATCGCAGACTTTATGGAAATGATGAAAAGTTATGAGAAAGTTACACTGTTTCCCAGATAAATTAGACAAGTTGTTTACCAAGTTCTTTACAATTTCGAAAAAAACACACCCCCACACAGTGTATTTCACAAGCTAAGCCTGGCCAGGAGGCGACAGCTGTGCAGATAGGCTTGGCACTCTGCCATGAGATGTGGCAGGGCACCAAGTGTGGCGGCTGTGCCAGGAACAGTGACTTACATCGTATTTCTCCTTGGCCCAGTCCAGCCAGTGCTCCCTCTTTGGATACTGCTTACTGCGGTGCCGAAACCTGTTTTTGATGGCAAACTAAAGGAAGGAAGAACGACATTCACACAGAATCAACTGCTTCATCAGGAAAACATATTTCAATCAAATCACCTATCCTGGGAAAATGCATTTGGGAGAAAAACAAAATATAAAATGGTAAAAACTAACATCATGGGAACACCTGGAGGGTATAACTAAAGTTTTCACTTCTAGTCTCTACAAGCGATTGAGTTTGGGTAAACTGAGTCACCACCTTACTTTTTAAAAGATTTATTTTACTTTTTTAATTGGAAAGGCAGATACACAGAGAAGAGAGAAAGATCTTTGTTCGCTGGTTCACTCCCGATGGCTGCAACCGCCAGAGCTGAGCCAATCCAAGGGGACCAGGAGCGGCTTCCGGTTTTCCCACATTGGTGAAAGGTCACGAGGCTGTCCTTGACTGCTTTCCCAGGCCATAAGGAGGAAGCTGGATGGGAAATGGAGCAGCTTCATGGTGTTATAAATTTCCATTTTTCTTCCTGTTGTTGATTTTGTATTGCGATTTTTTCAGTTAAGAGGATGTATGGTGACTGTGTAATGGAGACTATCACGTCCAGATGTGAGGATGCAGTGCATCTCTACCTCCAGATCACAGCTGGAGTACTAATGAAACTCTCAGCTGTATCTTGACAATAGCACACTGGACTCTCTGCCATTGTCCATGCCCACAATGGTGAACATGCGACTGTTTATGAAGAGCTATGCTATAGTAATAATATAGGGGAATTTGGTGGGAGGAAGGGCTTGGGAGAGGGGACTTGGGAAATCCCAGGGCTTATGGAATTGTATCAGAGAATGATAATAATAATTTAAAAAGAAGTTGAAATAAAACAAAATTAAAACAAGCAAAAAAGAAAGGGGAGCAGCCAGGATATGAATCAGCGCCCATATGGGATCCCGGCACATGCAAGGTGAAGAGTTAGCCACTAGGCTACTGCTCCGAGCCCACTCTCTAGATTAATTAATTAATTAATTAATTTGTTTATTTTCTTTTTCTGTATAGACTGGGACTGCCCCCCAAACTCCCACCCCCGACAGATTTTCCCATCTGGTAATTCATAAGGAATCATAATTCCATCAGTCTTATTTAAGTGCACCCTGACATTGCTGGTACAGACAATGAAAGACAGTCCAGCATCCCATTGTCTACACATTTCCAGCAGTTTCATTGGGAATCCACCTTTAGTCTGGAAGCAGGGATACATGTTACATTGTATCCCCACATCTGGATATGACAGACCCCAGTACTCCACCACTATACATTTCCGCAATTGAGAAGCCATGAAACAAGGTCAACAACTGTTATGAGTCAGAACAACAGCCTCAACAACAACAACAACAAATTACAGCACCATGACAAAACATGCCACTGAGTAGCCAACACATGGGTGACAAAAAGGAAACACAAAAGTGTCTAGGAAAAAACTGATGCCACCGTGTAATCTGAGACCCAGTGATGAATTCAACAAGAGAAAAGAAAGTATTTGGAATAAATAAAACTGAAATAAAAAACATCAAAATATACGGGATGCAGGGAAAAAAAAGCAGTATGTATCGAATTATACAAGTTACACTTTCCATGTTGGTTTTCTTATATAAGAGAAAATATATGGTATTTGTTTGTTTGTTTTTGTGATTGACTCATTTCACCTAACTTAATGGTCTCTAGGTGGGACCACCTAGATATAAGTAGTATAACTTAATTCTTCTTAATAGCTGAATAATATTCCATGGAGTAGATGTACATTTTCTTTAACCACTCTACTTTGGATACACATCTGGATTGATTCCATGTCTTTGCTATTGTAGATTGTGCTTCTGCAAACACAGGATTACAGATCCCCTCCTCATGTGCAATTTCATTTCTACTGGGTATGTTTGTAGGAGTGGGATAGCTGGGTCATATGACAGATTTATTTGCAATTCTCTAAACACTCCCCATACTGATTTCCACAGTGGTTGTACTAGCCTGCACTGCCACCAGCACATCCATGCCAGCAGGTGTTGTTAGTTAAGTTCTGAAAGTAGGCCAGTCTAACTGGAGTTAGGTGGTACCTCAACGTGGTTTTCATTTATATCTCTCTGATGGTTAAGGAGCCTAAGCATCTTTTCATAAGTCTGTTAACCATTTGAATCTGTTCTTCTGAAAAATGTCTGTTCATTTCATTTGCCTAATTTGTTACTTTTTTTTTCCTGTCTCTGGGTTTCTGAATCTCTTTGTAAATCCTGGATATTAGTCCCCTATCACTTGCATAGTGTGCCAAAATTTTCTCCCATTCTGTTGGTTGCTTCTTCACTTTGTTAATTGTCTCTTTTGCTGTACAGAAGTGTTCTAGTTTGATGTAGTCCCGTTTGTTCATTTTGGCTTTGATTGCCTTTGCTTTTGGCATCTTTTCTAAGAAATCCTTCCCTGTTCCGAGATCTTGGAGTGTGCTTCCTATGTTTTCCTTTAATAGTTTAATGGTTTCTGGGTATAGATTTGGGTCCTTGATCCATTTATGCGGGGTCAGCCCCACAGATGCTTCTAGCACCCCGTTGTTGGAGGTGGTGGGCCTGCTGCCCACCACCCAGTCTCTCAGCATGTGAGAGACAGATGCGACAGGGGTTTCATCTAAGCAGTTCCAATTTATTTGGGAAATTCAGTTTCTTATATAGGGAAGTGAATAGCCTCAGGCCAGGAATCCCAGGAATTCCAGGAGGGGAGAACTAGGAGCCAATTGTTACCTACATGACTGTGGAAATCACCTCCCGTAGGCCAAGGGTAGGTGAGCAAAATGGCCCTGGGAAATCAGTCTTTCTTTAAAACAACTTGACCCCCCCCCACCCCCCCCACCCCCCGGTTCAAGCCTACACTCCCACCATTGGCCTCTACCGTTGGCCACCATCTTGTTCACCATGTGTTAACACAGTGACCTTGACTGTTAGACACCATCATATTGAATCAGTGACCCATTTGCCCTTTGAGGCCCACACATTTAGAGCTGATTTTCATATAATTTGACATTTGTGGGTCTTGCTTCTTAATTCTGCAAGCTGCTATCCAGTTGTTCCAACAGCATTTGTTGAACAGACCAGGATTTTTGCCTAGATTGTTTTCAGTTTTCTTGTCAAAGATTAGTCGACTATACATGTGTGGGCTCCCTTCTGGTGTTTCTATTCTGTTTCACTGATCTTCTTCTCTGTTTCTGTATCAGTACCAGATTGTTTTGATAACCAGTGCTCTGTAGTATGTCCTGAGGTCTAGAATTGTGATTCCTCCAGCTTGATTTCTATTTTTCAGGATAGCTTTGGCTATTCATGGTCTTTCGCGATTCCAGATGAACTTTTGTGTCATCTTTTCTGTTTCTGAAAAGAGTGTTGTTGGGATTTTGATTGGGATTGCATCGAATCTGAATAGTACTTTTGGAAATATGGTAATTTTGATTATGTTGGTCCTGCCAATCCAGGAACATGGTAAGCTTCTCCATTTTTCAAGGTCTTCTTCTATTTTCTTTTAAAATGTTTTATAGTTTTTGTCACAGAGGTCTTCTACATATTTAGTTAGCTTAATTCCCAGGTATTTAAGATTCCTCTCCTCTATTTTAAAGGGGACTGCACTTACAATTTCTTTCTCACCCATGTAATTATTTGTGTACACTAGTGCCATTGACTTGTGTTCATTAATTTTGTATTCTGCTACTCTGCCAAAGTCTTCTATGGGTTTCGATAGTCTTTTAACTGAGTCTTTTGGTTCTCCTATGTAGAGAATCATGTTGTCTGCAAATAGAGATACTTTCATTTCCTCTTTTCCAACTTGGATTCCTTTAATTCTTTTTTCTTGCCTAATAGCTCTGGCAAGGACTTCCAATACTACATTGAAGAGGAGTGGTGACAATGAACATCCCTGTCTAGTTCCAGATTTTAGTGGGAAGGCTTCCAATCTTTCTCCATTTAGTATAATGCTAGCATTAGGTTTTTCATAAATTGCTTTGTGTTGTAGAATGTTCCTTCTATGCCTATCTTGCTTAGGGTTTTCAGCATGAAGTAGTGTTGGATTTTATTAAATGCCTTCTCTGCATCTATTGAGAGGATTGTATGGTTTTTATTTTTCAATTTGCTGATGTGATGTATCACATTTATTGATTTGCAGATGTTGAACCATCCCTGCATGCCTGGAATTAATCCCATCTAGTCTGGGTGAATGATCTGCCTGATGTGTTGTTGGATCCTGTTGGCTAGTATTTTTAACGATCTTTGCATCTATGTTCATAAAGGATATCGATCTGTAGTTCTCCTTTTCTGCTGTTTCTCTAATTTTGGTATTAAGGTGATATTAGCTTCATAGAAAGACTTTGGAAGGATTGTCTCTCTATTGTTTGGAAAAGCTTGTGTGGGATTGGGGTAAGTTCCTCTTGAAATGTTTGGTAGAATTCAACAGTGAAGACATCTGGTCCAGGACTTTTCTTAGTTGGGAGAGCTTTAATTACTGATTCAATATCAGTGCATGTTTTTAGTCTATTTAGATTGTTAATTGCTTCTTGATTCAATTTTGGTGGATTGTATGTGTCCAAAAATCTATCCACCTCTTCTAAGTCTTCTGATTTGTTCACATACATTTGCTTCTAATAGTTCCTGATGATTCTTTGTATTTCCATGGTATCTGTTGTTATATCTCCTTTCTCATCTCTGATACTATTGATGTGTATTTTCTCCCTCCTTTTTTGATGATATGGGCTAATGGGAAGTCTATTTTGTTGATTTTCTCAAAGAACCAGCTCTTTGATTCATTGATCTTATGTACTGTTCTCTTGGACTCTATTTGGTTTATATCCTCCCTTATTTTGATAATTTCTTTTTTCCTACTAATCTTGGTACTGCTTTGGTGTTGTTTTTCTAGTTCCTTCAGCTGTAAGGTTACCTGATTTACTTGATGCTTTTTTAGTTTCTTGATACAAGCATTGATCAAAATATACCTTCTTCTTAGCACCGCCTTGATTGTGTCCCATAAGTTTTGATATGTTGTGTTGATGCCTTCATTTGTTTCAAGCAATCTTTTAATTTCCCCTTTGATTTCCTCTCTAACCCATTGCACATTTAGTAACATTTTATTCAGTCTCCATGTCTTTGCAATTCTTCCTTGGTGTTTTGACTTCTTGGTCTCTAGCTTCACTCCATGATGGTCTGAGAAGATGCTTGGTATGATTTCCACTTTTTTTAATTTGCTGAGGCTTGTTTTGTGGTCTATAAAATGGTCAATTATGGAGAAGATTTCATGTATTGATGAAAAAAGTGTATTCTCTGTCTGTAGGATGAAAGGTTCAATAGATGTCAACTAAGTCCATTTGCTCTAGAGTTTGGGTGAGATCTGTTGTTTCTTTGCTGAGTTTCTGGTTTTTTGATCTGTCCATTGATGTTAATGGGGTATTAAGGTCTCCCACTATGACTGTACTGGAGTCTGTTTCTCCCTTTAAACCCATTAATATTTGTTTCATGTAGCTAGATGCTTTGGCATTTAGCGCATATACCTTTATTGTGATGATCCCTTCTTGCTGAATGGATCCTTTTATCATTATTTGGTGTCCTTCTTCATCTCTTTTGATGTTCTTCACATCAAAGTTTATATCATCTGATATAAGAATGGCTACACTTGCACGTTTTTCCTTATCATTTGCTTGGAATATCTTTTTCCATCCTTTCACTTTCAATTTCCTCTGGTCTTTGTTGGTGAGACGTGAGACGTGTCTCTTGTAAGTAGCAGATAGCTGGTCTTGTTTTTTGATCCAGTCCTCTAATCTATGACATTTGACTGATGAGTTTAAGCTGTTCACATTCAGAGTTATTATGGATAAGGGGCAGTTTGGTCCTGTCTCCAGATTCTTTTTTTTTTTTTTTTAGCCACTAGACCACCACACCAGGCCCCAGATTCTTGAGAAGCAAGGTTAATATAAATATAATACAAGGGTTCAGCGCAGTAGCATAAAAAGCTAATCCTCCACTTGTGCTGGCATCGCAAATAGATACTGGGTTCAAGTCATAGCTTCTCCACTTTTGATCTAGCTCCCTGCTAATGCTCTAGGAAAGCAGCAAAAGATGGCCCAAGTGCTTGGGCCCCTCTGCACCTATGTGGGATACTCAGAAGAAGCTTCTGGCTCCCAGCTCAAATGGCTCAGCTCTGGCCATTGTGGACATTTAGGCAGTGAACCCTACAGATGGAAGATGTCTCTTTCTGTCTCTCTCTCCCTCTGTGTAACTCTAACTTTCTAGTAAAATAACGCAATCTTTGTGTAAAAAAAGAACTATAGCACAAGACACGCTTGCAATTTCAGTCTTCTTATAGCCATTTAAAAATAGAAAAACAATCAGGACTGCCTTGGTGGCACTGTAGGCTAGTCCACCTCTTGCAGTGCTGCCATTCCACATGAATACCCGTTTGTGTCCTGGCTGCTCCCCTTCTAATCCAGCTCCCTGCTCATGACCTCAGAAGACAGAACAGGATGACTCAAGTCCTTGTGCCCCGTACCTACATAGGAGATCTGGAGAAAGCTACAAGGCTCCTGGTTTTGACCAATTCAGCTCTGGCCACTGCAGCCATCTAAACGGTGAACAAGTGACTGGAAGATATCTCTGACTCTCCTATCTCTGTAAAAACATGCCTTTCCAATTATGAGGACTTTTATATTCTTTTTTCATGCCGAGTCTTTGACACATTATCCAGAAAGCATGTTATACTTATGATATAACTCAGTTGGAAAAAAAAGTGAGGCGGAGACAGACAGAAGAGTTCCCATATGTTTGTTCCCCAAATATCTGAAAACATGGCACCCCAGGCCAAAGCCAGGGTTTCTTGAAGGAGTGGCAAGGTCCAAACGCCACCCAAGGTACTCCTTAGTAGGAAATAGGGAATGGGGCTGGAGCTGGGAATTAAACCCAGGTACTCCCATAGGGGACTCAGCACCTGTCCCAAAGATCTCAGTCCAGTGCTAAACATCTGATTTTCTTCTTGTTTACATAAAGTTTGTGCCTAAAAACTAGATTCTTATACTCAGTTATTCCAAATGAGAGCTTTCCAAGAACTGAGTTGAGGATCAGTGTTTAAATTTAAGGATGAGAACCCACTACATGCAAAATCATGTAGGAGAAAATAAAAGTTATAGTTAAATGTAACACCAATCAGAAAAACATACTGGCCCATCTATGGTGAAATGAAAGGCTATGAAGATTCCTGGGTCCTGCTGTTTAGAAGTGACTTTCAGAGCAAGCAAATCGTGTTTACAGGAAGTGGCAGCAGAGGGGTCATCACAGCTGGGGTCATGCTTATGACCGAAAGGAAAGAACTCAAGGCTGATTTGGTCAAATTGGGCATTATGCTTCTTATGGCTATATAACAAAGTAATTTTTATAGAGTTTGAGCAAAATTGTCAGTTACTTATTAATGGGGAACTTGGGGTGACTCCCTCTTTGATTCAGTGGGACAGATTTAAAGTTACAGAGAAGGGGAAGAGTTTTACCTAAAGGAAGTTTTTTTCTCATAGGGAGAGAGTACATTTGTTTCATAAAGCAAATACATAACCCATGGTACTAAGCCAGCTCAAGAGACAGCAAGAGACCGATAGTTACATTATGGTTGCCTTAGCTTCCAAAAGGTTATTCAATTGGCTTCAAACAAGAGCCACATTCTCCCTGGTTATACTGTACAACACTGATGCTCACTAACATAGGAAAAACACACAAAGGAGAGTTTCATCTGATTCTGTTTCATAAATGTTCTTACTCTCACTTATTTTTGCTTATCAATGAACCTGCATGTATGCATGCCAGCTAGGTGCAGAGAAGAAAACAAACTCTGCACATTCCTATTGCCAAATATCCAATGAAAACCATACTTCTGCTGGCTGCTTAACAACAAAGATGGCACTGTATGTTGAGCGCTGCTTTCCTCTTTTTAGCAATGAAATAGATGCACATTTTTGCTGTTAAAAACATTACAGGCTATGTTTGGTGAAGCTGTGTTCATTTCTAAGGATCATTTTCTCAGCCTTAATTTCTGAAATTGGCATTACTGACCCCAAACATCTGAACGCTTCCGGTTCCTACTACACGAGGCTGGCCAAGCCCCAGTGCCACTTGGACTTGCTCTTCTTCTATCACTGGTCTTTGTAAACTCTGAGCCTTTTCCATTCTTCCTTCTTAGAATTCTGTTTGTATCTTTTCCCATTAAATGACTTTTATCAGAAACTTCAACTTATCAAAATGAAAGACACAAAATTTTGTTTAAAGCAAAGTCAAGACTTAATTTGCACTTTCATAAGGCGGTAGAAGGTTCTGGGATGATTCAATGTCATGAGAGAGTTACTGAGATACTCACGCCAATGCACTTGGCCACCTTACTGATGATGTTACCTTGTGGCTTCACCTTCTTGTACATCCTGCTGCCAATGACAAATACGACTAAATGGGGGAAAAGAAAATATGTCAACACGTTTGCTGCCCATGGCCTTGAGGGACATGCATTTGGGTTATGGCTTTGCTTCAGGAACAAGTGGATTACCTGTAGAATGAGTTTACCTACCTACCTCCCAATTCAGAAAGCACTTCCATGTCTAACACACACCGAGTCTCTGAGTGATAGTATATTGTGTCCTAAGACACAAATGCTTCCATGTCACACCAGCAACTCCCAGAACTGGGGGCGGCTCAGACACACTTAGCACTAATATTTAAGCACAGTGCCATCTCTATCCAAATGAACACAAGGAATAAATGCCTTCACATGAATGTGCTATTCCACAAAGACCATCCATATAGCTTTTATTTTCTGGCGGCAGTGGCAGGGGAAGTCTCCCTCCGCTTCTTAACACCCAGAAAGAAGAGAATCAACCTGTAGAAACCTTGACTTAACTCTTGACTTAACTATATGTGGTAGTCTGTCTGGGTTTTTTTTTTTTTTTTTTTTTTTTTTTTTTAGTCACTATGCTGAAAGGCAGTTGTGATCAATTACATCAACAATTAGGGATTTTACAAAAATGTTAGGAACAACCTTGAAAAAACACCAACCTTCCAGAGACCTTCTTAGCAAAAAGTGTGCTATGAAGATAGGAAACAGCAACAAACAACAACGGGCAATTCTGCAAGAGGCTCTAGAAACACAACCCCTATGGCAGGCATTCTGACCAATCATAATTTAATCATCTGAAGATGACAATGCATAGCTTGAAATGAATTTGCTCTTGTGATTTGACAAGCATGTGCTAGCTCTCCAAATATGTGCCTGTACCAAGGATGCCCTTTACAGCAACGAAAGAGACACCTGCTCGTATTCTTGCTCAGGGCAGGCCTGGGAGGAAAAGACAATCAGTAGACTGAATCTCCAACAATACTCCAACAATCTTTGAGCTTCTAGTTTAGTGAAGTTTAATGCAAGCACAGAAAACTCCAGAACTTGTTTATAGCATTCTCAATTCCTCCAAAAGAGAAAGTCCAATTTATGATATATGAATGACTTATATAGACCAAAAGCGAATTCATCGAGACTTTGTGAAGTGTTCTGTATCCAAACCAGAATTAGCGAGAAAGCATCAATGAGTCTTTTAAAGGATGGTAGCAAAATTTGAAGCTTCATAGGGGGAACAGCCACATTAAAAATTAGAGACTACCAATGTAGTACTTATAAGTGAAAGGACAAAGCTAAATTGCTAAAACATGGACAGAAGGGGTGGAAAGGGGTGGTAGTGGGAAGAATTGAAGAAACAAACCCAAACCAGAGCCAGTGATGTCATTGCCGGAGTGCAAAGCTGACAGCTATCCCAGCTGAGCAGGAGAAAAGGCCCTGAGGAGCGACCTGCTTCCTGCCTGTCATACTACCCCGAGGAGAAAACACCACGTCTTCTAGCAACCAATGCCAGGAACGCATGCACAAATGTAAGCTTGTACACATGTGTACCTTCTAGAGAGAGGGAATTCTAGTCAAAATATTAGGGATGAAGATATTGGACAATCAGGTGTTCATGGCACAACTGAACCAGGTTGTCATGTCCTCAAGCAGATCATAGATAAGCACATGTTGACAAGGACAGCTTTCACCCATGGGTTCAGGCTAATCTAGCAGCTTATCACCCTCGCTCCCAACTGCCTAAAGTATCAAATTCCTCAGTGTCCTATAAGTTGCTTTCTTATCTTTCAAGCCTTCTTTGGGATCCTATCCCTACTGACACAAGCTGCCCACTCAGAGTGCTCAGAGTCAGGGTGACATGTGGTGACAATTCTTCATGCTGCAGTCTGGTGTATCTTGTCTCATGAATCTTCAAAAATGAGGCACAGTAATTCAACCAGAGCCTGACCTGGTCATCAGCTCAAATTAATGTAACCGATTTCTACTTACTCAGGGAGACAGCCATGAGGATAGCAGGAATCCCAAAAGCCAGTGGGTAGCAAGCCTGTCGAACATGAATCCCACACTGTTGAACTGGGAAAAGAGCAAGATAAAACATTCATTCTGGCATTGGTCATGTGCAGAGAGCACCCCTCTCCAGCAGCCCTTCACTGCCTGCTTCCTGTTTTCACCTGACATCACAGACCTGTGCATTGGGTTTGAAGATGTTACTGGCGGCTGAGCAAAGCCGCACCGCAGCAGAGGGCAGAAGGTAGAGACAAGTTCTAACCTCAGCCCCTTAAATTCAAGCATGCCTGATACACAGGCCAGCAGAACCCAGAGGTGGCCAAGATCAGAGACCACAAGAAGAAAAAGGATGGCATTTTTATACAAAACAGCTTGTGATGGGGTTTAGCTGTCATCTTCAAAATACTCTATGCAGAAATACACGTATCTGCCAAAAATATATTATTTCATCATTAATCAAAGTGTGGACACCACAGTTTTGTTCATGCGTGCCTACTAACTCCAGATGCTCCATTCATGTGGGAGTCCACCCCATCACCACAGCCGCGGTGGACACAAACATCTGTTGGTGTCAGACACATGGTCTCATTCCCATCTTGGGGCATTTCTTTCAGAAACACTTGAGATGAAGGAGAAGAAGCAAATCCCAAAGGCTTCCCCCAATATATTCTTCCTAAATCCCCAAAACTTCAATGGGCAGCAAAGCCTGACAGCTGAGACATCAAGCACAGCCCACCCCACACCTGCCCAGAGAGCTTCCTTTCACTGGTATCGCTCACCTTGAATCAGGACTTCGCAGACAGAATGAATGAAGGAGACCGACGCCTATGCTAAAAGCTGATGACAGTGACTCTTCAAGACAAGGGATGGAATGAGTTGGAAAAGGAGGGAAAGCTGGAAAGAAAAGAAGCTTGCCTTCTGGACTTCAGTGTCCATCTCAACCTGTGTCTGGTGGCTAAAGTAAAGAGAACAGAGGGAGAAGACAAAGCAAGAACAATGTCTTTTGGCCTGACTGCTTTCCTCACCATTGAACAGAGATAAACAGAACCCTTCCAGGCATTGCTCACCTCGGACCATGGGGGTGATGATGGTGGACAGCAAACTTCCAGCATTAATGGCCAAGTAAAAGATGGAAAAAAACCGGTTTCTTTGCTTCTCCTGTCATGGGATGATAGAGATGGTTAACTGTTCGGTCACGGAGCTGACAGGCCAACGCACCCCCAACTCAGGTTAGCTAGGAGTTTCCTCCCAGGCACATTTGACAGGACTCCGACAGGGAATGGACTTGATAGTCCACAGCCTGTGGTTCTTGCATGTGCACTTAGGAGCGTGGTCCCCAGGCAGGTCACTGCTCTTACCTGGTTCTCCTCAAACTGATCGCCACCGAAGGCTGACACACAGGGCTTGATGCCGCCCGTGCCGAATGCTATCAGGAGCAGGCCGATCAAGCACACCGCCCTAGAGGGACACGCGCATTTAGGGCTTCTGGCAGCAGAGGTCTTCTCTACCCAGGTCCTTCAGAGGGACTCAACCCTTTACAGGAGTGAGAGCTCAGGGCACATGGGAGCTCATGGGCCTTCAAATTCCTCCCACTCTCTAATTATTTGCTATCTAGAAAATGAAAACAGCTGGAAAGTGGAACTTAGATTCATGCATAGATTTCTTATCTCCTTATCATCAGCCAGGCTGTGCTCCAGGGGCTTCACCTGGCCTAAAGGACAGCAGTGGTGTGGCTGCTGCTCCCACAGGTGTGACAGTGGAGGCCCCAAGGTGAAGGAACTGTTGTGAGTGGCCACGATAATGAAGGCTCACAGGCGGGATATGAGGCTGGCCTGGGCTCTGAAATCCAAGTTCTAGAAGTGGTGTAACCGGTTAGGAGACTGAGGCGCGGAGCAGACAACCCGGGCCCGTCCTGTGGCTGTGGAAGAGCTGGGGGAGGGGACAGAGCAGCCTGTGCACAGGGAACTGAGCTGTGGAGCAGAATGACAGCTGGGCACCCGTCTGGCCACCATCCCAGCCATGGACAGCCAAGCCAGACACACGCGGATGTAGATACCATCATGATTCCCCATGTTATTTCCTAGCACGTGAGGTGCTTTATGCATGGATCCATGGACTGCGGCATGGAAACAGGGAACAAAAAGATGTTTACAAGTAGTCCACATAGGGTCTGATGCAATGGCTCAATGGTTAAATTTTCACCTTGCAAGCACTGGGGTCCCATATGGGTGCCAGTTCTTGTTCCGGATGCTTTACTTCCCACCCAGCTCCCGGTTAATGGCCCGAGAAAGCAGTAGAGGAAGGCCCAAAGCCTTGGGACCCTGCACCTGCGTGGGAGACCTGGAGGAGGCTCTGGGCTCCTGGCTTTGGATCAGCTCAGCTCTGGCTGTTGCAGCCATTTGAGAAGTGAATCATCAGACAGAAGATTTTTGTCCCTGTCTTTCCTTCTCTCTGTAGTTCTGATCTCCTTTCCAATAAAAAAAAAATTAAATAAATCTAAAAAAACAGAATAACTTCACATGTTGTCTGCTCGGCAGGGTTATGGGAAAGAGGGGAGGAACCCAGAGGAGAGACTGGCTGTCAGTCACACTGAACCCAGGAAGAGATGAGGGGAGGGACTGCCAAAGGAGCAGCAGCATGTCGGAGGTCAGGGGGTCAGAGGTCAACGTTAACCAGGGGGTTAACGTTCCAGTTTCAATGCAAATTGGGTCCTAAAACATCAAGATGGATGACAACACCTGCCTCCCGACTGCACCTGTGTGGAAGTGGTGACTGGAGACACACAGGTCCCAGGGTATACTGCTTCCCAACAACCAACAGGGGGCAGCTGACCACAGACCCCACCCCTAGACCACCAGCTGCTGCTGAGGGTGGAAAAGCCTCCTCTCACTTGGGGTGAAATTCAAGGGGAAAGAGGAAGCCAGGAGGGCTGGGGAAAGGCTCAGCGGCAGGACCACCCACTCACACATGCGCAGCAATGTTGTCAGGGGTCCCGTCGTGGTTGTTGTCTGTGAGTTCATTGATGGAGCTGATAGAGGTGATTACTTGTCCAATGGTGTAGACAACAGACAGCCACACAATTGTCCTGTGTTTGGAAGGGGTAAGAGACCGCGAGTGAGCCCCACATTCCCCTCCCCGACACACCTTCTCCTTTCAGTCATAACCTGTGGGAGCCCAGTCCTGGACAGGCCCAAGTGAGGCTGACACCTCCTCCCTAAGAGCTTAGGGCAGTTTCAACCAGAAGGACAAGACTCACTGTCTCCATTCTTTGTGAAAACTCCAGGTGTCTGTTCTACCTAACCTTGGAAATTGTCCCAACAAGAAGAGTCACTTATCTTGTGACAATATTTGGCTGTTGGTTATTTTTGCAGAGCTCACTGGGGATGGGGAATACGCTTGCTACAGTCATGACACTGATTCCTTTGGCCTGGAAGAGCCTCCATTTTTCTGTTAAGTGCTGAGAAACTTGGCAACAATAACAAGGCAACCACTCACTTGAATTTGCCGAGCCATGAGTCAGCAATAATGGCTCCAAGGATTGGAGTCAGGTAGCAGAGGGCGACAAAGGTGTGGTAGATGACCGTGGACAGGTTGTCGTTCCAGCCGATGAAGTTTCTGAAGTACAGAATCAGGAGTGCTTTTTGCAGAGGGCAGGGGGAGGGGGAACAGAGTTATGACTGGCCATGGTGCCCACCTTCTGTCTCCCCTCCCACCCCCACACAGGCCAAGGGTGGTGCAAATACCTCTCATGCCATAGTAGGAGAACCTTTCACAAAACTCATTGACCACAATGAAGAAGATGCTCAAGGGGTATCCGAAGCAACTCTGTCAAAAGGGAGCAGCAGAGTCAACATTTGACCCTCGCTTGTCTTGGGTCACAAAGCTGGTAACAGCGTCGAGGGGGAGGCGGGTAGCTGATATCTATTTAGCCACTCATCAGCAATTGCAAAATGCCCATCATTCCACAGAGAACAAGGATTTGCTGCTGGTCTGGGAAGCACTTAGCGCAGCATCAGCACCTCCCAGGTGCTGGCAGCAAAGTACCCACTGGTCCAAAGTACCCACTGGGATGAGGCACAGGTATGAGCATGTGGGAATATAACAGACTGTAAACTTGACAGAAATGAAGACGCATGGTGAAGGGAAACGGATGCTCACCTTGGACTTGGATGTTCCTGAAAGAAAAGTAAAGTATCCATGTTAAGGTTGAGTCATTCCAGTATCGCTTGCTGTGTGCAAACTCACACCCTCTGCTAGTGTCGGCAGCCAGCAGCATGACCACCAACCACGGAAGCGTGCTCCAGCCCCCTCCAGCCCCCTCCAAGCCAGAGTCTAGCCTCCCAATGTAAGAAGCTCCCGGGAGCAATTCTCGGCCAGGGCTTCAGAGAAGGAGGCCAAAGCCACTTCCTCCTTCAAACACCTCAAAGGCAGCCAGACACTATGACCTCCCCAGGTCACTGGGCTTTTGACAAACAAAGTGCTTGTGGGGGTGCCTGACACACTAGCAAGGATTCACCCCTTCCCTCCCCTGGCCCCTGGACTGGCCTTCCCTCCCAGCTCTTCTCCCCAGAGGGGTCCTGCAACAGCCAAGTGGGGAAACTTGGCAACAACAAGTCTGTAACACACGCGGCTGCAGCCACCTCCCACACCTGCTCCTTTCAAAGCACCTCTCCAGGCGTAGCACCCAAAGCCATCTCTAGCCTTCCTCCATGAGCAAGGTGCAATTATGGCACGTTCCTATCTTTGTCCCCTTTCTAGACGAAACGTCTTCCGCGGAAGAATTGTGTGCTACCTGTCACGGCAGCATCTCCACGTCCCAACATCTGTGTACAGTACCACTAGTAGAAGGGCAAGGAGACACAGCATGAGTCCAGTGGGCTCTGCTGTCTACCTCTGGGCAATGCCCTTTCATGCCCATCCTCCCATCAGCTCTGGCTTTCAACAAGCACTGACCCTGAGGCCAACACACTGCCCTGTGCTCTGCCTGTTCCCATGGGGAATCCGTCCCCTCCCACTCTCAGCCCCTGGTGATCTCAGAGTTCTTCCTTGCCAGGGCTCCTGGGCATGTTCTGCCTCCCTTGAGCATCAGGAACCTGACAGCAGTTGTCTCGAATGTGAGCATGCTTCAGGGTGACCAGAGGGCTTGGGAGCGAGCACAGATCCCTGGGCCCCACTCCCAGAGCTGCCGACGCTGGACATTTGAATTTGCATTTCCAACAAGTTCCCTGTGGCTGTTGAAGCTGCTGCTAGTCTAGGCAGCAAGCTTTGAGAACCACTGCACTGGAGAATTAGAATAATCCGTAAATCCCAGTAAGTTAGTCACATGTTGCTCACTGCAGCGGAGACAACTATTTGCAAAGCAGCCCAGGGGAGCCAACGCTGACTTCTCTGCATCCCAGGGTCCCACGGTCATGACCACTCCTGCTTGTCCAGGGGCCACACCGGCTGCATTGTTTTGGTTGATGGGTCTCCATTAGGAAGCTGTGCCCGCAAGCCTGGACAAGAAGTAAATGCAGAGATCAGGTGGCACGCCCAAGTCTCTACCTCGGCTCCCTGTCTGCATCCCTTACCCTGTTCCCTCTTTTCCTATTTGTCACCTAGTGTTTTCATTATGTGCACATCTAGGGCTCCGCCCCACAACACAGAAAGCCACACAATGTTACGACAGATACTCGCTGTCTGAGCCAGACTCTGCTCCTCCCACTGCATTCACACTCTGCGTGAGCAGGTGCTGTCCTGCCTGGTCCTTGTCACACAGGCCTGGGGACATTTCTGCCTCTCAGCAGGTGACCTTGCATGTTTGCCCACTTGGAAGTGTTTTAGATATTGTTTGCTTCCTTGTCCTAAGGAGCAAAGGAAGCTGTCCTGGTCTCTTAGGACCCCCGTTGCCAGCTCCTCCTGTTATTCAGATTCTGGGTGAAGATACCTGAATTCTTATGCGTGGTTTCTCCCCAGGTAGACTTCCTCACATGAAGGGGCAGGACATGGCAAATGAGGGCAAAGACCCACAACTAACTTAGCTCTGCCATCTGCCAGCTGTGACACGGACAAACATATCTTTCTTCCAAAAAGCCCGAAAACCCACAAGATGCCCCCTGCACCCCCAAGCCCAGCTTCCTCCAAGAAGGGCTGCAATGGGTCACATGAACGCTGTCTGGAGCTGGACAAGTCTGAGTGGGGAGAGACCCCACCGTCTCAGAACCATGAGCTCCCTGCCTGTGCTGGCCGTGCAGTGCCAACTACATGTTTGCTGAGTGTCCACCAGATCAATTGCATCAGGCACTGAGTACAAGGTTCAGTTCTCAGCTTCTACTCCCTTCTGCCCCTCTCCAAGCCCAGGTGAACTCTTTCAGCCCCACACAGCTGGCATGACCATGTACTTCAGCCATGTCTTCAGGTCCTGCTGCCCTGGTAACCACTGTGTTTGGCCAAAGCAGAGCCCTGGGGAGAGCAGGGGGCAGTGTGGGAAAAACAGGGTCTTTGTTTTGCTGGTGCCCTCCCTGACCGAGCCATCTGATTCCTAAGTAGTAGCCAAAGCTCCTTGTTGGCTGACCCTGACTATGGGAGTCTCTCTCTCTCTCTCGACCCCCTTTATTCTGCAGTAACAGCGAAGCCTCTCTCTGATTCCCACCCCAACTCTGGTCTGAACAAACTCTCCTTTGCAGAGGGCCCCATGCTTGCTGGCAGGGAGTGGGAGGCTGAGCACCCATTGCAGATGCTCACCAGCACCAACTGGGATGAATTCCTGTTGCAAGAGAAATAGAAAGGACCCACCAGGTGCACTGGGTTTTTTAAAGCTGGGTGCCAAATGATGCTGTTGGTACAGCTTGAACATCCCTGGTCCAAAGTGCCCAGGGCTGAATATGTTTCAGATCTCAGGGCTTTGAGATTTGGGGATATCTGCAGAACTGAAAATCCAAAATCCTAAAATGCTTTGAAACCCTCCATTTGTTACCAGCCTGCTTCAAAAGAACATGGAGATGCTTATCCTGAAAGATACATGGGGTTACCAATCTCTTGCACCAAGGTAAACCTTCCTTGTAATGACCTTTGGACACCACAAGTAACAGTCTTGCAAAATGACAGTTTCCCACACACTTTTGGTAGTCCCCTCGTATCAGTCAAAGCCCTGTCCCCTGGCAGTGGTGTGTCCCAGACTGGAGAACGTGGCAGTGCCATGGGATGCCCTGCCTGAGATGAGACGCTGGGGCCTTGCTTGGCCTCACACACACCAAGTAAGGATTGAGGTCCACATTGATCTCATGGTATAGTAGCTTGGGAAAAGCAGGTATGAGGGCAGAAAACCAGCCACCACCAGGGTGTCCTGGGCTTCCCTGTAACCATGCCCTCCTGCCCTCCTCAGCACTATGGTTGACAGTCAGCCACGTCATCTTTCTAGGCTGACTGCCGACATTTGCCTGCTGTGGCTGGCATCTAAATGATGATTGCTCAGGTTTCATTTGCTTCAAACACAAATGAGGTCAGAGACCTAACTCAGAACTGAATTTCAATAGTCACAAGTGTCTAGGCCCTGACACAGTTATGCTGCTAGCCAGTGTCCTGATTGCAAATATAATCGGCATGTCTGAGTGACTGGATGTCCCAGCATTACTCTAGGGTCACCTGGATTTAACTGCTGATCAATCAAGCCTAGCTTTGGATTCACATCTTGCCATCTAGCAAGCCTAGCCAGGGCCCTTACATTTGATCACTCACAGAATGGTGTTCTGGTTTTTTGTTGTTTAGTATTTTAATTCTTTATTTGAAAGGTAGAGTGACATGGGGAGGAGAGGGGAAAACAAAGAGGATGTCCATCTGCTGGGTCACTTCCCAAATGGACACAAAGTGACCTGGAGCCCCATCTGGGTCTCTATCTGGATTCTTGGGCCATCTTGTGCTACTTTGCCATGTCCATTAAACTGGACCAGAAGCAAAGCAGAAGGGGGTCAGTACTGTAGTAAAGTCAGCTCCTACAGCACCAGCGTCCCATAGGGACACCGGTTCGAGTCCCGACTGCTCCATTTCCAATCCATCACCCCACTAGCAACCTGGGAAAAGTAGCAAAATGACCCATGTGTTTGGGCCCCTGCTGCCCACATGGGAGATCTACATGAAACTCCTGGCTTCAGCCTGGCTCAGACTGGCCATTGCAGCCACATGGGGAATGAACCAGAGGACGGAAAATTTCTTTCTCTCTGTCCCTCTCTGTAACTCTGACATTCAAAACAAAACAGTGGAGCATGGGACTCGAACTGGGCACCTTGCAGAATGTTGGTAACTCAAGTGGCAGTTTCAGTCACTATCCCACAGTGCATGCCCCTCCTACTGTTATCCCAAGCTGAGCAGTGGGTTTTTTTTCTTTCAGTTAAATAATTTAACAGTAGATGTATTTTATACATGTCTATGATTATTGACTTGGGGTATCAATGGCAGGGTACACAGGGAGAACAGGAAAACACAAGAGACTACATTTAATGAAATCTCACTAATTTCATATGGATACAACGCATGTTTCATATTTTGAATCAATTAGGGATGGAAACTCAAAATTTTATTTTCTTATGATATAGAAATTAATAGTCATGAGCTGGCATTGAGATGTAGCTAAAGAGCTGCAACCAAAGACACTAGAATCCCATATGGACACTCCACATTAGATCCAGTGCCCTATTAATGGCCTGAAAAGACAGTGGAGAATGGCCTAAGTGATTGGCCCCTGCCACACAGCTAGGAGACCCATGGAAGCTCCTGGTTCTAGGCTTGGGTCTGGCTGTTGCAGCCATCTTTGGTAAACAAAGGTCTCTTTCTGTCTCCATCATTCCCTGTAACTCATTCAAATAAACAAATCTTTTTTTAAACAGCCACCCATCACTTAATGAGGCTACATTGCATGAGATACTTCCGTTGGGGGATTCTGTTATCACATGGACATCACACAATCCCACAACCCTAAACAGGATGACAGGCTGCCCACCCCTCGAGGCTGTGTGACAATCTAGTGGGACCACATGAGCTATGCGATCCTCCTGCTGTGATGCCCTCAGCAACATAGGGGTGGGGAAGAGCGAGAATATGTAACACATGCCCAGGATGTGCACTTCTAAAGTTGAAAGGAAGGAGGCATTTCTCTGAGGTCTAAGAGAGATTGCTCTCACCTTCCCAGATGCAGGTCTTA